TTTTAAGTTTTTACTATAACACATATAGTTAAAAACAATGACACCCCTGGGGCAGGGCCAGTTTTGACCCTTGGGCTTTTATTTGAACAAACTTTGTAGATATTTACTTAAAGATGTTTTCATGCTTAATATCTAAACTCTAGCTATTTGGGTTTTTTCAAAGAAGATTTTTAAGTTTTTGCTATATACACATATAAGGAAAATCAATGACCCCGGGGCAGGGCCAGTTTTGACCCCAGGGCTTTTATTTGAACATACTTGGTAGACACCCATTAGAAACATGTTTCATGCTAAATATCTTAGCTCTAGCTCTTTGAGTTTCTTTAAAAGAAGATTTTTTAAGTTTTTACTATATGCATATAGGGAAAATCAATGACCCCCTGGGGCGGACCAATTTTGACCCCAGGGCTTTTATTTGAACAAACTTGGTAGACACTCATTAGAAGATGTTTCATGCTAAATATCTAAGCTCTAGCTCTTTGGGTTCTTTAAAAGAAGATTTTTTTAAAGTTTTTACTATATGCATATAGGGAAAATCTATGAACCCCCTGGGACGGGGCCAATTTTGACCCCAGGCCTTTTATTTGAACAAACTTGGTAGACATTCACTAGAAGATGTTTCATGCCAAATATCTAAGCTCTAGCTCTTTGGGTTTCTTTAAAAGAAGATTTTTTTTAAAAGTTTTTTACTATATGCATATAGGGAAAAATCAAATGACCCCGGGGCGGGGCCAATTTTGACCCCAGGGCTTTTATTTGAACAAACTTGGTAGACACTCACTAAGAAGATATTTCATGTCAAATATCTTAGCTCTAGCTCTTTGGGGTTTCTTTAAACCTTTTTCCTTTATATAAGCGTGTTTCGACGGCTTTTTGCCCCCCCCCCCCCCTTTTTTGAGGCCTCAAACAGTGAAAAAATGTCCTATTTAGGCCCCAAACACTGTCTTTCGTTTGAGAAATCTTGTTAAAAAAAGTGACCATTTTTTCGGCGCCGTCCCCCATCCAAATATTACATCAGGGGTTTGCCAGAAGGGGGATGTGCCCCCTTCTGTTTGGGGGGTTTGAAGGGGGGCGGAGTCCCCCTCATCGCCAAGAAAATTTTGGACTTGTGAGAGGCTTAAAATGACCCCAGGTCGATCATAAGGTAACGTGTAACCAACGCTGAAAAGCCTTTGACTCTATCTCAATCCCTTGAGAAGTGGCAGCACTTTGAAATAAATTTTTGATGGAAAAAATCGAGGCAAAAAAGTGATTTTTGGAAATTTTGAGATGTCCCCCTCGTTGCCATGGTAACAGGAAATTTAAGACTGAGCATGTCGTTACAAAGGCAATGGTCCAGTCAACATTTGTGCCAAGTTTGATTAGTATTGAAGCATTTTTCATAGTTTCATAGCAGTTTGAACTTGTAACAGGAGGCTTTTCAGTGAAAATGGCCATTTTTCACAATATGCTCATGGGGGAAAGGGTTAAAAGAAGATTTTTTAAGTTTTTACTATATGCATATAAGGAAAATCAATGACCCCCGGGGCAGGGCCAGTTTTGACCCCAGGGCTTTTATTTGAACATACTTGGTAGACACCCATTAGAACATGTTTCATGCTAAATATCTTAGCTCTAGCTCTTTGAGTTCTTTAAAAGAAGATTTTTTAAGTTTTTACTATATGCATATAGGGAAAATCAATGACCCCCTGGGGCGGACCAATTTTGACCCCAGGGCTTTTATTTGAACAAACTTGGTAGACACTCATTAGAAGATGTTTCATGCTAAATATCTAAGCTCTAGCTCTTTGGGTTCTTTAAAAGAAGATTTTTTAAGTTTTTACTATATGCATATAGGGAAAATCTATGACCCCCTGGGACGGGGCCAATTTTGACCCCAGGCCTTTTATTTGAACAAACTTGGTAGACATTCACTAGAAGATGTTTCATGCCAAATATCTAAGCTCTAGCTCTTTGGGTTCTTTAAAAGAAGATTTTTTTAAGTTTTTACTATATGCATATAGGGAAAATCAATGACCCCCGGGGCGGGGCCAATTTTGACCCCAGGGCTTTTATTTGAACAAACTTGGTAGACACTCACTAGAAGATATTTCATGTCAAATATCTTAGCTCTAGCTCTTTGGGTTCTTTAACCTTTTCCTTTATATAAGCGTGTTTCGACGGCTTTTTGCCCCCCCCCCCCCCCCCTTTTTGAGGCCTCAAACAGTGAAAAAATGTCCTATTTAGGCCCCAAACACTGTCTTTCGTTTGAGAAATCTTGTTAAAAAAAGTGACCATTTTTTCGGCGCCGTCCCCCATCCAAATATTACATCAGGGGTTTGCCAGAAGGGGGATGTGCCCCCTTCTGTTTGGGGGGTTTGAAGGGGGGCGGAGTCCCCCTCATCGCCAAGAAAATTTTGGACTTGTGAGAGGCTTAAAATGACCCCAGGTCGATCATAAGGTAACGTGTAACCAACGCTGAAAAGCCTTTGACTCTATCTCAATCCCTTGAGAAGTGGCAGCACTTTGAAATAAATTTTGATGGAAAAAATCGAGGCAAAAAAGTGATTTTTGGAAATTTTGAGATGTCCCCTCGTTGCCATGGTAACAGGAAATTTAAGACTGAGCATGTCGTTACAAAGGCAATGGTCCAGTCAACATTTGTGCCAAGTTTGATTAGTATTGAAGCATTTTTCATAGTTTCATAGCAGTTTGAACTTGTAACAGGAGGCTTTTCAGTGAAAATGGCCATTTTTCACAATATGCTCATGGGGGAAAGGGTTAAAAGAAGATTTTTTAAGTTTTTACTATATGCATATAGGGAAAATCAATGACCCCCTGGGGCGGGGCCAATTTTGACCCCAGGGCTTTTATTTGAACAAACTTGGTAGACACTCATTAGAAGATGTTTCATGCTAAATATCTTAGCTCTAGCTCTTTGGGTTCTTTAAAAGAAGATTTTTTAAGTTTTTACTATATGCATTAAGGCTCCCACGTTTACAATTTTTTGTAAACGTTTACACGATTGCTAAGAACCGAAACGATACCGTTTAAACGGTGGTACCTCTATGTACTATACACACCATGCATTTGAGTCGCCAAATGATGTCTTTCTTTCTATTTTTTATACATGTACAAATAAAGAATATGCAGGGCTCATCACGATTGAGTCAGCACATATTTTTTGCATTGTAACCTCATTTTTACCAAAAATGTATAATGTCACGAGCAATTTTGCACCGTAATGCTGTGTGGAGGGTTGTAAACGCCTATTTTCCGTTTGTTTACTTTGGAATAAACCACTGGAATTGATAAAATCCATGATTACAGGCAATGATTAAGAAATTTTGTAAGACAATATGGTCATTTCGATTAAACGGTAAAGAATATCGTAAACGTTTATGAATGAAAACCGAAACGAATCCGTTTAAACGTGTAATCGTGGGGGCCTTAATATGCATATAGGGAAAATCAATGACCCCCTGGGGCGGGACCAATTTTGACCCCAGGGCTTTTATTTGAACAAACTTGGTAGACATTCACTAGAAGATGTTTCATGCCAAATATCTAAGCTCTAGCTCTTACAGTTCTTTAAAAGAAGATTTTTAAGTTTTTACTATATGCATATAGGGAAAATCAATGACCCCCCGGGCCGGGGCCAATTTTGACCCCAGGGCTTTTATTTGAACAAACTTGGTAGACACTCACTAGAAGATGTTTCATGCCAAATATCTTAGCTCTAGCTCTTTGGGTTCTTTAAAAGAAGATTTTTTAAGTTTTTACTATATGCATATAGGGAAAATCAATGACCCCCTGGGGCGGGGCCAATTTTGACCCTAGGGCTTTTATTTGAACAAACTTGGTAGACACTCATTAGAAGATGTTTCATGCCAAATATCTAAGCTCTAGCTCTTACGGTTCTTTAAAAGAAGATATTTAAAGATTTTTCTTTCGGTTGCCATGGCAACCAGAGTTCTGCATGAAATGGAATTCTTTGAACAATCTTGATAGAGCTTCATACAAAGAGTATTCCTGCCAAGTTTCATTAACATTGGCCTTGCGGTATCATAGAAGATGTCCTTAGAATATTTAAAATGTGGACGGACGACAGACGACGGACGCCATTTGGTTGGCCATCCTAAATGCTCACCTGCACTTTGTGCAAGGTGAGCTAAAAAAAAAACTTGCCAGTGTCTTCATGAGTATATCCAACTATTAGCAATGAAAGTTCAGTTTTTTTGAAGATTCCCAGTTCAACTAACAGGGTAAGGAAAGCCTATCATGAATCTGGAAAAAAAGTAAAACATAAATATTAAGTGACAAACTTCCTTATGTGTTTTCTTTATTGTAAATTGAAACAAATATCTAGTTAAAATGCTAAAAATCTTAAATATTAGACACAGAGACATGGAAAGAACCAAAAACTTCCACATAGTTAAATTAAAACAATCATTAGCATAAATAATCCCACAGATCTATAGGACATTTGGTTCAAGAGACAAGACATGTATTAAAAATAAGAATCTTTATAATTATAATTTTGCCCACAGCCCTGTGGCACAGGGTAAAATGTTCCATTATGTAAAGGATATGTCCATTTTAGCATTTATAATGTTTATATCACATTACAGTTATGAAATACTAAAGCCATATGCTTAAATTTTTATGTCTCATTGACAAGATCTAAACCAGTCAGTAAAAGCCATGCCAAAATCTTCAAATTCAATAGATCAAACTGAAATATTACAAAAAAAAATCTAATTTACAGTGCACGTATTTCTTTTAACGCTATTGAATCTAGACATAAACTTTGCCTGTTATAACAGTGTTCTGTTCACGTTCTTCAATATAGGCCTAACGAATAGAAAACTATTTAACAAAACAAAAACAAAAACCCACTTTCAATTTAAGCTGCCGTTTATTTCTTCCACGTCGCCAAACGCTTGTTTTTAATGTTCAGAGGTAGTCTCCCTTGTCTTTATAGAGATTATCCCCCTTGATCTCCCGTAGTGATCGCACACAATAGGTATTATATGGAGCGTGTGCGAGTGCTTTATTTCTACCATTTAATTCTTTAAAAATAAAAGAGATCAATAAACAAAGAAAAATATTGACACTATTGTAATGATTTCTAAATAACGGATTTTATCTAAATAAATAGTTAACGGAGAAAGGTAAGAGCTATGACTTAATTTAACCCATTGCTTCATGAGCATTTTGTGAAAAATGGCTGTTTTCATTGAAAAGTCTCCCGTTACAAGTTCAAATTGCTATAATACTATAAAAACTGCTTCAACACTAATCAAACTTGGCACAAATGTTGACTGGACCATTGTCCTTGCAACAACATGCTCAGGCTTAAATTTTCTGTTACCATGGCAACGAGGGGACATCTCAAAATTGCCAAAAATCACTATTTTGCGTTGATTTTTTCCATCAAAATTGATTTCAAAGTGCTGCAACTTCTCAATGGATTGAGATAGAGTCAAATGCTTTTCAGCGTTGGTTACACGTTACCTTATGATCAATCTGGGGTCATTTACAGCCTCTCACAAGTCCAAAATTTTCTTGGCGATGAGGGGGACTCTGCCCCCCTTCAAACTCCCCCCAAACAGAAGGGGGCACATCCCCCTTCTGGCAACCCCCTGATGTATCTTTTGGTTGGGGGGCCGCGCCGAAAAAAGGGTCACTTTTTTTAACAACATTTCTCAAACAAAAACAAGTGTTTGGGGCCTAAATAAGGCATTTTTTCATCATTTGAGACAACAAAAAAGGGGGGGGGGTGAAAAAGGCGTTAAAAGGCGTGTATATGAAGTAATGGGTTAACAGAAAATGATGAAAATACTTGAAATTACCCTAAATCGCGTTTTTTCATGTTTAAACATGGCCTGTCATATAAATTTGAAGAAAAATTGTTGTTTTGTAGATTTTTTGATTTTTTTCATTAACCCATTGCTTCATGAGCATTTTGTGAAAAATGGCTGTTTTCATTGAAAAGTCTCCCGTTACAAGTTCAAATTGCTATAATACTATAAAAACTGCTTCAACACTAATCAAACTTGGCACAAATGTTGACTGGACCATTGACCTTGCAACAACATGCTCAGGCTTAAATTTTCTGTTACCATGGCAACGAGGGGACATCTCAAAATTGCCAAAAATCACTATTTTGCGTTGATTTTTTCCATCAAAATTGATTTCAAAGTGCTGCAACTTCTCAATGGATTGAGATAGAGTCAAATGCTTTTCAGCGTTGGTTACACGTTACCTTATGATCAATCTGGGGTCATTTACAGCCTCTCACAAGTCCAAAATTTTCTTGGCGATGAGGGGGACTCCGCCCCCCTTCAACCCCCCCCCCCCAAACAGAAGGGGGCACATCCCCCTTCTGGCAACCCCCTGATGTATCTTTTAGTTGGGGGGCCGCGCCGAAAAAAGGGTCACTTTTTTAACAACATTTCTCAAACAAAAACAAGTGTTTGGGGCCTAAATAAGGCATTTTTTCATCATTTGAGACAACAAAAAGGGTGGGGGTGAAAAAGGCGTTAAAAGGCGTGTATATGAAGTAATGGGTTAATATAATATACATGTATTCTAATTGTTACTGTACTGTACTGTAGGCCTATGTGTTTTAAAAAAAAAATCATTAAAACTGATTAAGTCAAATTTGTCATCAAACTTAGTATATGAACTTGAAGATATTTTTCTCATGATTGTTTAAATTATAATTAGAAGCACTTACTTTTTATAACAATCGCAACATAACAATTAAAGGGCTGTCAACTTTTTGCGCCTCTTGGGTGGTGGGGGTGGGTACTTTTACGTTAACCAATTTTCAACATTTTTCAGGTCCGAGAATGCGGTACTCTTTATGATAACAAAAATTATAAAGATTTTTTTTCTTTCATACAATAAAGGAGTCGCATCGTGGCAGTGCCCACCAATTTTCTCTTTTTATTTAAATGTGGCACGGAAAACCTTTCCTTTAAAAACACGAGAAAGCTGATGACAATCATAAATCTAAAAACTTTAGCATTAAATCAGATCTTTTATATTTCAAATAAAAAATGATTGTGTTTTGATAGATTTACAAGACGTGTATATATTATTTACATGAATGCCTTATAATAATCGGCAATAAAACATTGTTATAAACATTGAAGGAGTAGAAAAGAACAGAATGCCAATTTGTCATTATTGATAACAACTTCGGGGTACAATAATCAGCTATCCTATTTCGGTGTAATATTTTATTATGATATGTGTATAACACCGCTGCAGAAAAAAAATGGAACACAATGACAATAAAATATTTCTGTCAAATTACAAAGCCCTTTAAAAAAGAATGAACATAAGTTTTCATACACGGTCCTGTTACGATTAATTAAGATCCTGACCCACATTTCATCTGGAAAATTATATATATCTAATTATATACTGTGAATATGTTCCAGGTATTATTAAAGTAACACTATCACTGACTAGACTAAAAGAAAGAAGAAAAAACGTACGAATACTGAATTAATTTGCAGATTTCTTGTGTAAAATAATGTTTTTAATTTATGCAAGAATAAGTTGTGAATCGAACTTTTTATTTTCCTAACATGAGAAAATGCTAAAGTAATGAAATAATTTTCAGTGCCTGTTTGATCTTATTATAATATTAGTCTCTATATAGCCAGGGTCTTCAGCCTTGATAAACAGCTACTCCTTTTTTACACACGTGAGTCTGTTATTTTTTCATTTCAGAAATATGACTGTGGAAGTTGCAGCACCAATAACTAGGCCAAAGACGGGCCAGGCCTTCCTCGAATCAACAAGTTTCAAAATAGGACAAGATGAATTGCTTACAAATAACCGAATGAACAGTATTTTCAAATCAGACTTTCCTCCATATGGAGCGTACGGACGGACACAAGGTGCCAAGCCTCCGCCTCTTTCGGAGGTTATGCATAGAGATCAAAGCTTTTTCAATGAAAGGGAATCGGAGACCACGAAATCCTTTGAGTATAGACACTTAGCCAAACCGGAAATTCAGGGCGCGAGCGGAAAATTGAGAGTTACGAATTTCAAAATGGATAGAGACCTTAACAAATTCAATGTTTTCGAAACGGTTCATAACTCTTATTTCACACCTAAAATGGCGGATACTTACAATAGAGTGAAAGCACCTACAATTAGAGAGAGTTACATACCACAGGGTGATAAGGAAAAGGAGTTAATGCCCCTGACTGACTACAGAGATCGCTATAAGGGCCATGATACGCGTGAACATAAAACTATACGAGCAAAGTCAATGCACGAAGGTAAGGTGACTGAAAATATTGACATTTGTAAAAGGAAAACACGTTTATGATCACTATTACCCCTCTTATATTATAGCACAGTAACTGTTGTAGTTATCATGTTAACTTACTCATTATTTTAAGAACATTACGACAAGAAGATTGTGTCCATAATGTAACGATATTAATGCGTTCGTATCGTGTTAAAGTAGGTACTTTATAGATAAAACTATTGGTACTATCAGTTTCTAGCTTGCACAGACGAGGTTTCTCATCTTTTATTCATCGAACGTATTAAACCAATCCATGTCTCTACAATAAAACAATACGCACGCCACTTTTACGATATACAAATCGAACAAACTATAATTAGTGAGAAACATTTTGCGATTTATGTGTTTCCATTGTACATAGATAAACAAAACTAGAATTATAAAACTTGAATACTACTACCTGTATATGTCATCTTCAAGAAACGTTATAAAAAGATTATATCAATAAATATGAATGTGTGTCTGCCACTCAACCAATAGGTTATGGGTTGGAGCCCTATTCGGGTCACAACCATCTTCCCGTTCATGATATCGGTACTCGTTTTTGTGTATGTAGCAAGCTTGCCTGAAACAATTATGTTTAAACTAACAACACAGTGACATAGATAATACATGGGCAAATTTTAGTAGTTCCTACAAAAGGGACCAATGATAACAGAATTCAGCGTGCAGTGTTTTCCTACCAGTGCATAGGCCCCAAAGTCAGCGATTTACTTTAAAATCGTTCGATCTTTTTAATTTATTTAAAACTAGTTGAATAAGTAGAAACAAACATTTAATATAGAATAATTATTCATTTACAAACAAACTAACTGAAAAATGCCGTATTTTAAACACATATTTGTTTTTGGTCTTTGTTCTACATGTATAAATGTTTCAATATAATAAATGTTACTTTTTTCCTTTTAGAAGGGGTTATTTTTAACATTTCGTGCTGTTTTAGTTCGCACTATGGGGTAAGCCACATACATATTTTATTTTTATGTACGGCTTTATCTATATACTTAAAAGGGCTACAGAATAATTTATTTGTCTCCGTAAAGTGGTCTTTTACATGGCACATTGGGTAGATTAAATTGTAAACAATCTTGTAGTGAAAGATTAAAAGATTAGCGCTGTAAACAATGTTTCCCATGGCTTATTTTCCGTCTAGATAACCTGTTGGCCTATTGTTCGAATACGAGATAAAGTTAATAACAAATGTACGTTAATAACGAATCACTGAGTACAGTTATATAAGTAGACCATTGATTGTGCTAGCCTAAGTTTATTTTGAATATATACATTTGTATTCTAAATAATACATTAGGTATTTTTCCGCTCACTATAAGGTTAAGGTAGGAAACGAATAGTACTCATGAATGAATTATAGGGATTCTGAAATAAACTCCCCAGTATAATTGCGACTTAAAGTCAACGTATTCAGATGTCATAATAGATAAGGAAAACATATACATGTAAAAAGTAAACGAATTAAAAGTTCCATTTTCATATGAGTATTTGTAACAAGTTTAATCGAATAACAGATCTGTTTCTATGACAGCACTGCTGTAGTGTGGCTTAAGGGCTGAGGGACAAAACTGCTCACATACCAACATGCGGTATGATCTCGGCTTATATCATATATCAATGTTTTGGACTTTCGGCTTACTTGCTTTCAACTGATTTAATATATATGATTTCGACTTACTAAATTGATACTATTTCGGCTCACCTTACTGACACGAGTTCGACCTACCTTACATTCCTGCAATAATTTTGACTTACATTAAATTGCTATCTTCACTCTCGATTAACCTTACAAAAATGATTTTTGACTCACCTAATTTACATCATACGTTTGTCCTATATATAAACTCTGTCTACATGTACTTACCTTACTAAAATTTATAAATGCTTTCGACTTGTAGACATAACTAAAATGCTCTTAAATGATTTTTGCCCTACTTATATATGATTTTGAGTTACCTTACTAATATGATTTCGACTTAACATCTGAATCCAACTATTTTTGCTTAGCTTCGTCACTTCGTCACTAAGAAATTAACATTTTTCTCTATAACAAACACTGCTGATATATCGAACATGCCTATATCAACGCCACATATACGCGCCAAATTCTAATGTTCCTTTAAAAAGATCATCAATATCGAATATTTAACAATTTAAAGCATATTTTGTGATTAAATCGCCGTTACCTGTAAAATATGTAGAACATTTATTACAAATATATTTGACTTCAAAAAACATTTCAAATTTCAGTTGTTTATTTTTATGCCCCCACAATGTGGGAGCATATAGCGTTGCACTTGTCCGTCCGTCCGTCCGTCAGTCCGTCCGTCAGTCCGTACGTCCCGAAATCTTGTGAACGCAACTCCTCTTAAACCGGATGGCAGATTTTGCTTAAACTTACAGGGATGAACAACCTTAATGTGTAGATGGTAGTAAAGGAAGGAATTTTCGCTGCGACCAAATTTAACAGAATTATGGCCCTTTGTTGATTTTTTCACTAGATACTATGTAGAAATTTTGTGAACGCAACTCCTCTAAAACCAGATGGCAGATTTTGCTTAAACTTACAGGGATGAACAACCTTAATGTGTAGATGGTAGTAAAGGAAGGAATTTTTGCTGCGACCAAATTTAACAGAATTATGGCCCTTTGTTGATTTTTTCACTATATACTATGTAGAAATTTTGTGAATGCAACTCCTCTTAAACCGGATGGCAGATTTTGCTTAAACTTACAGGGATGAACAACCTTAAGGTGTAGATGGTAGTAAAGGAAGGGAATTTTTGCTGCGACCAAATTTTACAGAATTATGGCCCTTTGTTGATTTTTTCACTATATACTATGTAGAAATTTTGTGAACGCAACTCCTCTTAAACCGGATGGCAGATTTTGCTTAAACTTACAGGGATGAACAACCTTTAGGTGTAGATGGTAGTAAAGGAAGGAATTTTTGCTGCGACCAAATTTTACAGAATTATGGCCCTTTGTTGATTTTTTCACTATATACTATGTAGAAATTTTGTGAATGCAACTCCTCTTAAACCAAATGGCAGATTTTGCTTAAACTTCCAGGGATTAACAACCTTAATGTGTAGATGGTAGTAAAGGAAGGAATTTTTGCTGCGCCCAAATTTAACAGAATTATGGCCCTTTGTTGATTTTTAGTTTTCAACTTGTGGCACATGTAGTCCAAAAAATATTTGACCTAGAGTCATAAGATTGACAGAACAGTGGCGTGTGGGGGCATCCGTGTCCTATGGACACATTTCTAGTTTTGTGTGTTTCAGGTGGACCACCTACTATCAAGGGTGATGGTCGGACTAGTAATTTTAATACGACACACAATGATACGTTTATGGGAGAATATGAAAAACCAGTTCAAACACTTCCAGTCGTAAGTAAAAAAACTAAAACACTATAATATAATTTGAGTGAAATGTGTATTATACACAAATTGTTGTAACCCAGCGTTATTTCATAGACAAGTGCGGAGATAGCGTGAGAAACGAGTCGTGTTTGTACTTACTGTCTGTCCTCGTACTGCCGAATATTTTGGCGCCAGCTCGCGGTGCGGGTATATTTAGCATCCTGTAAGTTAAGTCTATTCAACTAGACCAGAATAAAGTTTTAATGGAGGAGCAATTTGAATAAATGGAGCTTATTTTTAAAAGCAACGACAAGTTTGTTTTTGATGTGGATCGAATACACGAGCGACAAATACTAATAATAACAAATACTATAAGCATTTAGAAAATTAGGATAATAAGAAATTGCATGATTGTGTTTTTCTTATCAATGCATCTATACTTGATCGAGAAATTGGTTAGATTACGACGATCTCGACTAGCTTTAAACAAGTACGCGTCAAGTGGGTTAATGTCATTTGATGTCACTTGCAACATTTGATGTACGAGACTCCACGCAGTTTATGAGAAATGAAAACGTTTTATTTGATTTTTTTAAGTTGAAATTTCAATAATCGTTAAAAGTAAACAATATTCTATTTTGAAAATACATTTTAGGTTAGAAAGATCAAGTTGATTTCTTAAACTTATAGTACATGTAGTGCAAGTGGTAAATAGTCTCTTAAGTTTGTTGTCATCTCATGAATAAAAACTAACATTAAACTTATACGCTTTCTCGTTTAAGGCGCACACTTTCTTTTACTTGTTTTCATGGGATGACACGAAAATGTCACATTGAAAAGTTCCATTATAACCGCCGTATGAACACATCTGCGAATGTTTCTAAATTCTAAGTGTCACCAATATTCATAGTCTGCTTAAGCAGTGCTAGGGTGGGTGGTGGGTAGTTTGCACTTGACATTACCGTCCATGTACAGGCTCTTTTTGACTACAATTCTCATGGTATTTGAAGAGAAAAATGTAGATGGTATCTCATACGGAAAACTTTGCCAATTATTCATACTTTGACAGAGAGGGGTGAAAATTGGAGTTATGTAATGCCCCTGAAAAATTATCCTGTCTTCATCATACACAATTCTTGATTGTTTTTTTTTTCGCTCACCTGAGTACAAAGTGCATCACAATAGTTCACCATGAGCACTTTGTACTCAGGTGAGCTATTATGATCGTACTTTTAACGACGTCAATCGTTCGTCTGTCATAACTTCAGTTCATACCAACATTTGGGATTTATGGGATTTTTATTTGATGTTTATACATGTGGCATTTTCCACATGAGAAGTAAAAATGTCTGTCTGAACAGGCGGAATGTAACTTATAAACCATTCGCTGTTGGCCCGCCAGTCCGTCCATTATCATGTCGTCAACTTTTTCATTCAAACAACATCTCCTCTGTTACAACTTGGTCAGGGGAAGGTAGTGGTTAAGGTGTCTGCCTCTCAACTCAGAGAGCTTGAGTTCGAGCCCTGCTCGGGTCACGACCATGTTTTTTCATATGACACCAGTACTGGTTGGTTCCAGGAAGCGGACTCGAAAATGATTAATATAAGTTATTCTTGTTTTGCAATCGAGCTTAAACAAATATGTTTAAACCAACAACTTGGTCAGATTTGATGAAATTTGCCCGTGCTGTTCCGAAAGTGAAGCTGTACCAAAAATTTTTTCAAATGGTTTTGGTCTGGTAAATGTCTTGGTCAGAGGCGCTAGAACAGGTCTTTAAAAATTTTCTCCTCTAAAACCGTAAAGGCTCCACCAAACGAAATAAGAGCCATGGGGTCAAAATTGGCCTCGTCCCTGGGTCATTGATTTTTCTTACATGTATATTGAACATATAGCAAAAACATTCAAAAAAGTTTTCTTCTTTTAAATGTTGCTCAGTTTTATACCAATTTTGCTATCATTTGACCCAGTGACCTTCATTTTGTGTTTTATAGGTATATACATTCACAGTTTTAGATACAGTGGCTGTTAAGCTGCTGCACTAGTTTCTACTGTATTGTTTGGAGCTTCATCTTTGAAATTTTGACCTATTAAACAATATGACCCGTCATTTAAGTTATACTTAACAGTATTGAGAGTTACAACTATGTGCCTACCCTACTGCAGTAACATGCTAACACTTTTAATATTGAATAGAACTCAATCCGTTACTGCACTAAGATTACGAGATGTAGATTTTAACTTTAAAAATCAAATGACATATTTTGATATTTTGGCCAATGCCTGCATTAACAGCCTTTATGGTCAGGTGAGCGCTATAGGACTATCATGTCCCTCTTGTTTAAAGTTTTTTGATTACTATTAATGCAGCAAAGAAACCGGTAACTGCCATTTTTCACTTAACATACCTGTAGAGTAGCGAATGATTATAATTGTAGGGTAAATTAGACCTTCTATAAAAAAGCTAATCATGAAACCCCCTCGTCTAGCGTCCAAATATTATTAACGCTTAATTTCTGCAAAAAATATTTCCGCGTACGCATTGTTAACTGGATTGTTGAATAATTTGTTAATCATTTCAGCCTCCAAGTTACAATGTACCTGTAGGAGATCCTAATAAAGTTGTCGAACGTGAAACAACCATGAATGCATCGTTTCAAGATGTCTCCAACCAGAATCAGCGTCAACAGTACAGCGTAGAAGAAGTCAGCCGGGTACTAAACCAGACCAACTTCAAGCAACAAGACGGTCATTACAAATGGAACGATTACAGGAGCACGGCTTTAGCCTCCTATATGCCCGCATCTGTACCAGGTATATTTGCATTTATTATACATTTTTGTCGCAAAAAAAAGATAAAAAAAGAGCAAGATATATTGTGCTATATGTAAAAAAACAAAGTATTAATCGTGCGAACAGTTTTCTATCTATATAATACAATGTATAAAGGTACAGTGTTTGTATCGTCATATATATAATGTTTTTGCCCCCACTACTGTATCCGTGTCCGTCCGTTCGTCCCGCTGTTTCGCTGTCACGTTGTCCGGCTTTACGCTGTCCGTCCATTGAGACGAAACAATCGAATATGGGGGCATCCGTGTCCTAATGACATATTTCTATTTATAATCTGATGTTCAATTGTGATATTTGTGTTGTCCCGGAAATGTATATAGCAGTTCGCGGTATATAGCCTCGTATGTGATAGGTACTTTCTCTTACCTGATACATGTTAAGTGGTCAAAGATGAAAGAAGTAATTTACACTTTGCAAACTACACTGACAATCCATGTGTAATATCAATAGGTTGTCAATAAAAATACGAAATAGCCCTTACAGCGTTAGTCAGTAGATATAGGGCGATAAATACTGCAAAATCAGTCATAAGTCGCAAATAACATGTAAATTATTAATTGAATCTTGAATCTTTTTACTTTAAATCTTAGTACTTTTTTTTCGAGTTATGATTTACTTTAAATATTTTGGCTCATCTGGAGGCATGCAGCTTTAAACGAGATCAATGGCATTATGCTATAATTACCAAATAATGATATACATAAATAAGCCACAGAGCTATTTGTTTAGAAACCATTGAAGATTTGTATTTATCACACACCCGTGCCGATTTTGCGACTCCGTAAATATGGTATTGCACGGTCGTGCATATATTTTGACGTGACGTCATTAGCGTTATTCAAACATAGTGTAAAGACGCGCTAAATGTTAGCGTTCTACTATAGGCGCGTCAACGGAAAATAACTCTTATAATTATTTCACTTTAAACGGTCTTTATTTTGGGTATGTGATAAATAGAATATTAAATGAGTGTAAGTTCAATACTGAATTTATTGCACTCGTTGAATAGAATAATATTATGCTCGCCAGAGGCTCGCATAATATAATTTTATTCAACTCGTGCAATAAATTCAGTATTGAACTTACACTCATTCAATATCCTCTATTTACTCAATAATTTATTAATTTGATGTATTTTTTCTCATAGTTGAAAGATACCGGCCTAACAAACATAGAAATCACAGTGATTTCCCCGAGGGTGACATGGACCCCAGTCGAACCAATGATCGCGTCAGCCTGACAACAAACAGATTTTACCACGGCAATGTAAATATCACATATTGAACTGAATATTGTTTTGATTAAAAAAAATCCTAAGTAAACAACAGATGCAGATTATCCCAATCTTAATGGTAAAGCAGTCGACAAACTAATATATTTTTAAGAAAATGAGAACGTTTCATCGTTTCACGAACAAAGTGTGTTATCTAAGAATTGTGAATGAACATTTTCGATAAATCAAAGAGTAAAATGATTCATGTTTTTAAAGTCATGGATTTCAAAGAATAGCTATCCAAAATGTTCTTTGTCGATTTTCATTGGAGGTCAGCGAGCTTTCGTAGGCACGTGCATATTTATTCCATATAAAGACTGCATGCCGAAACCTACTCTGAAGTACCATACTTACCTACACAGGGTTATTAATTGTGAACCATATTAATAGATTTCATGCATATTTTAATAACTTGTAGCCTCCGAGAGGTCTTCACAACAGTATTGTTTCTGGAGCAAACTTGCGAACCAAAAGTAACGTCTGGTTCGGTGAACCGCCGCTAGGTGGCTCTTTTTACAACACAACCAACGCTGGAACATTCGCTGCCAAGTCTGTACCATACTCTTATAACAGAAACAGTTTCCACAAAGACAGTGATATACCGTTGGATTATTACAGTAAGTTTTGTTATAAGGCACATTTGATTATTGCAGTTGTAATGTTACACGTCTGTAATATACAATATCTACATGCATATTCCAACAGACACTTACCTTACGCGTTTCTTGATTAGTTTTAACCGTCATATCTTCCACAAGAAACTGCCTGCTTGTCTTCACGATTTTTTTCTCCGTGATTTAAGCCTCTTATATTTTTCTATCACTTGACATTGAAAGATAACATAATTATACTTTATTAACGGAATCGTCCGTAAAGTGTGAGAACACATATTATCATTACTTTGAGCGCATACTTCAATCAAAGGAGACGAATTTGGAGTCGAAGACAAGACTTACTATAAACACGGAGAACAGGTTCCACACCGACTTTATTTATATGGTCCAGAAATCTTTTCTTATTCTTCTTCAGAAAATGAAAGAAACCACACTACGTCGTACACAGATTATCAGAACCCCAGACAGGCTAGAACAGCTCCAAATCCCGTAGCTATCAACAATGTATGTAATTCTTTTATTTTAACGGCTTTAGCCCGTTCGTGGCCGAGTTGTTAAGCTTCTTGACTTCAAACCACTTGCCCCATATCGCTGTGGGTTTCGGATCCCGCAAGTGTCATTGGATTCTTTCACGTCAAGAAGCTATTCATCAAGCTTACGGACCGTCGGTGGTTCTACTGAAGTACCCGTTCGTGCCTGAAATGAGGTCTTCATTCAACTGTAAAGCTGAAAAGTGACCATAAGACCTTACGTACAACCCAACCGAGCTTTTTAGAAACATAATAATACTACACATCCTTCGAAAAGACGTCAAATTGGTATACAAGGTCGCAATGTAGTATTACCTTATTAAACCAGACATGTACAAATGTATGTTATTGTATGACAAGAAAAAAATTCTCTGAAAGAAATTGAAAAGCAAGATTGTTTATTTATACTTTATGTATTTTTTTCACAGTATTTTTTTCGAAGATATAAATGAAAAATGAATTTCGAAGATGCTATATTTTGATCACATACATGACCTACAATATCTGTATCTTGCCATGTCGAATTGAACTACGCCATGCACCAATGGTGTCCAGATGTAATTGGTCTATACAATAACCTTTGACATGGTCATTGAATAGGTCTTCAAATACAACAATTAATCGATTGCCTTGATAAAAATGACTACAAGTTTTTAGATGTTCAAATATGAAAACTTCAAACTTTAAATGAGCGAGCAACTTCCAATATTTTCATTGTATGGACATTTTTCTGACTTTTTTTGCCTAACCACATTGTTTAATTTGTTTTCCAGATAAGCCGATCACATATTATGCCACCTTTGAGAAACTCCGGATTCTTTACTACCACTCATAACGACACATTTACGCCTAAAAGGGCAGATAAATATTCATATGACGCTGGTCGTTTACAGAAGAGTTCTGTCCCTTTGGGAACAATGACAAAAATTGATGTATAATGTAAATTTTCTACTCTAGATATTTTGTATAACATTCATGTCAATAAAACTGATTTGCCTGAATTGTATTTTTCCCTAGGAATATTAAATATGTTGTGCTTTGAAAAGAAAAAGAATTTTAACGAATAAATTCCTTTTTGGTAAATAAGAAATTTCAAGGTAGGGCTATACAGGCTCTTATTTGGGAGAACACCTTTTTCTTGATGAGATTAAAAAAAAAGAAGAGAAAACTTTCCATCAATAAAAGTCAAATCTCCATAAATCATGGAAATACATGATCATCATGTATAAAAGATGAACGTGGAGTTGATTTGGCCAATATAAACTGATACTCATTGTTGGTGTACTTACTGCTTGTTTCGTAATTCATAGGACGTGCATGAGTATCAAATTAACAGAAAATATTCTATATTTTTATGTGTGCTGTGGCGTGCAATATGTATTCTTGCTCCAGGCGAACTACTTTATTATACTCTGTAACAACTTCATACATTCGAAGGAAATGTCAAAGAATCAGAAATAGTACGAACAATGCTACCATTCTCAGTTGTCGATAAATCATGCAAGTCAGTCCCAAATAGTCCGACGTACTGTAGTGCTGCGAATAAGGGGTAAATTGTGGCGGCGTTTACATATCGTCTGTCCCCGCACATTCGGGCCAATGCGGTTGTGTTGATTCACTGAGGATATAGTGGTGTCCAAATCCCAGTGAGCAGACAGTTAAAAGAGAGTTTTCCATGATTCATAATTTGAAGTCCATTTTTAAGGGCACAAAGGCCTTACACTGATTGTTAAAGTGGGAAAATTAGAGACAGAGACGATTTTGGAACTACGGATCAATTGGCGCCCCGCGACGGTTTCATCTACTTTGCCACTTATCCGTTACAAAAACTTGAAAGTCATACCACATTTTCCAGATATACAGTCAAAAATATTTGAAATATCATTTTAATTCCAATCTTGACCAGATTACTACTGATCGACCACAGGGGTCTTTCAAATGGCTGTGTAACATGTAAATGTATTCGAATAATCATGTCTGAAATGTATGTGTAGTTTGAACAGTCACAGTAATAACTGCCACAACTTAACAGAGATGGTGTTATATGTTCTAGAGTGATATTCAGTGACTTATACTCGTGTCTACAAGTACACAATTTAGTTAATCAAGCATCGGTCGTTTACATCAAGTTTTTTTTCCTGAAAACATTTGGCATTCATGCTGGAAATATTCTTTGTGGTTGCTAATCAAACCTGCAAAATGAAGTATGTGACAACGTATGATGTATTTAGTCGTCTACTTATTGATCAGTATTATCTTGTTTTTTATATATACATGTATATTTTACAGTCCTGTTTATTAATTGTTAATTGTTTTACACGTTTTACAAAGAAATTTATTATTCTGATTGTATATTTTATAATGTTTTACTGTAGTCTAGATGATGAAATTGAACCATTTTAATTGCTTATAGACCATGTACAAATAAATATTTTCAATAAATAATTTAAACATTTCGTCAAATGTTTCTTCTTTTTTATATATTTTCATTGTTTTTATAATATTTTTCAAACATTGTTTTTCTCGAAAAAGTAAAGTCGTAAAGCAAACATCATGAAACGATATATATTAACATGACGGGTTTTGTACATTATAAAAATATGTAAACTGCTTCTAATATTTTCATTCACATGGTAATAATGTAAACCTTAAAGAACGCCAAAAGCGCAAAATTAAAAATGTTGCAGACTCGGTTTGATCAAGAGTCTGCAATTAGCTTCTGGCCCCTTGCATCGGCTTAATTAAGCATTACGTGAATTCATCTCTAAAACATAATTATTATGGATGTTTATTAATTTAGAAAGATCTGCAGATGTATTCATGCGGCGGTTACATATTTATCAAATGAAAAAAGAAACAAGTGCAAAAAGGTCCTCTTTGATTTCTACCACCGTGTCTTGATCTGCGATGTCTAGATTTTGCAAGTCACTCAAATAACTAACGGGTATATAACAAGTGCGACGCCGAATATGTTTTAATGTTTATTCCAAATATATGTGCGATTATACAAAATTACTTTATTATGTAAATAATAAATATATAAGAGGAGGCACATTTTCGTCAAAAAATAGCGTGCAAGCGAGCTTATACTATCTCAACAAGTTATTAGAAGAGGAAAAGGTAAAGCTCTTAATAACGATGTGGCGTGCAACCTTGCACGATAGAGACCCCATCAAAAACAAGTTTATGATCATCGCTTAATTTGTGAACAGTTAAGTGTTCTTAACGTCAAAGTACAAATAGGTAAATGTCTAAAATCAATAGGTTCAATGTAAAGATAACTTAATTTCGTGAAAAGTAATAACAGATTTTTTTTGGTTACAGAGAATACACGTCGTTCGTCTTATTGCAATGGGCTGTAATAATTGACACATGTACCATATACGTATACTATACAACATCATACATGTATATGATTTTGCAAATTATTCCATCAGCGGAATAATTAAAATGATAACAGACCTAGTTTCTGTGAAACACATAAACTGGTATTATCTAAATTAATTTTGTATTACATTGTCATTATGTAAAGAAATAACATATCGCATAATGATATAGTTATACCTCAACACCGCACAAACTATGGTAAAAAGACTATCTGTTATGCGATGGTGCAAAGATTTGGAATAGAATACCATCTAATATAAGTTCTTCTAATTCTCTAACATCTTTTAAAAATAAGTATAAATCAAAGCACAGAAGGCGTTGAATTTGTTTGGGTCTCAGAATGTCAGAAAGGTGAACGTTGTGAGATTATAAACCAATTTGTTTTTGTAAAGTGCCACCAATGCTTTCCAGCGTTTTAATTGTAGTAAATTGGCTATAAGACTAATTTAAACACTGATATTCAATCCAATGTTTATTTGACTTAAACAATTAGAAAAAAAAAATGAGTTGCCTTTACTAGGTTGAACTCCAGCCCTCTCGCTTCCTAAGCGAGCGCGCAAACCCCTCGGCCACGGTGAAGTTATTTGTTAACAACTTGAAGAAAACTATATTATTCTCTATTAGGGTGTGTAACGACGCTAACTGTTTAATACAGATGTTAATAATCATGGAGCTTACTATAAGCATGTATATCTATAAAGAATAAAACAATATTAGAAATCTTCGACCATTCGGGAATTATTTTGCTTGAAAATTAATGCACCTGTCATTTGACCATCTTTACGCAGTGATCTCTCCTGAATTTTTCGGCGTTAGTTTACATATAAAGGGAAGTAACCGCTTCAAAAAAGCGGACTACTTTCGGTACTTGCAATTAACAGCATTAGAGTCTGAAATTTCGCTACCATTATTTGTTTGGTCTTACACCTGAACCAACCTTTGCTTTTTTTCCATAAGTAAAGCTGTAGTGAGTTAGTATTTTGTATGGAATACAAAAAATACCTCTTTGTTTACGTTGTTAATCTGTGTTATTAAATTAACAAATCATTTCACTTAACCCTGCTGCTTTCTTCATGTAATTATTATCTAGCATACATGTAGTTTAAAATCATTATCATCCACTATATTACCTTAACTTCAGAGAAAAAATACATATTCATTTTTGAGGCTTTATCTGTCTGTCAAATTTTAAAGGCCTGGTTCATATTTTTGTCCAGCTTCATCATTGGAAATTAAGATGATATATAATGAGCTGCTCGGCATATGTCAGTTTAATATTCCAGACACGGTATGCATCCAAATCATCACGACTTGATGATTTACCAACAGAGAAATAATAAATGATCAGATAGTTTTATTTACTTCACACAGCTACCTCTAAATAGATGGAAATTTTTGTTTCTTTGAGCAAGGGGTCTAAGCACACATGTATCAACCTTTGTTGGTGATTTTCATCATGATGCAGGGGCTTTCTGCAAAATAAGAGCAGTTTTGTATTGCTTATGTTTGCATAGAACAGCATAGAACAATGGCAATCTAATACAGGACTACATTGACATAAGTTAAAAAATAAAAACATTAATTACGATATTTTCACTATTATCTAGACTTCGAGCCAGTAATTATCATTAGACCCTGGTATTATCAGCAAGCCCTGATAATATGGATACATACCGTGCTTAAGTAGAATGTAAAAAAAAGAGAAAGTAGAAGAAAATCTGTCATGTGTTAGGAGTCATTTTCTCCAAAAAGATTTGACGCCTTGGATAAATAATTTTTGCAAATTTGACAGCTTTATATGCAAAATTTTGCGCATACTTTATAATTTACTGAAATGGAAAATTAAAATGCATTATCCATGCTGCATGCATGTTTGATAAACACGCGCAGGGACATCAGTAGCATCTTAAAAGTATCATTCAAAATTTATATTAGCACGCGTGTTCATCATCAACGACAAATTTGCCAATATTTTTCTAAATAATATTCCCTAAGCGTTAAATTATTCAAAATTTTAGACATTTTGTAAGTGGTATGCACTTGTAATTATTTCAAACTTCATTATAAAAATACTGTAACTGTCATTTAATTGCTGGCAGAACGAATTAAATGTTGCCTGACAGCGTCTTATGTGAAAACAACTTGTTTGTGTAAATAAGTAAATAAAAGCCTTGCTCATAATCTGTTAAAACTAAATGTATATTTACAATATTTTGTTGTCGTTCAAGTGGTTAATAATATTTACATACGGTAATAAATTTTGTTTATCAAATGGTACCACTGTTACAAAAGCCGAACATTAAAAAGGTATTTTATTCAGGGTACTTGAGTCCCTGGCTTTAAGCAAAATGATAGCGATATGCTAAATTGATAGAGTTTTAAAACCAGACATTGAAACATTTTTACCTTTATACTGGTGCCTCATATTTCCGTGTTACCCATAATTCCAAGGTATTAGGCATAAACAGTCTCAAACACCTTCTAGACCTCATGCACCTGGCAGTAGTTTTAATTTTACTCTTTTATTGTATTTTTATCGAAATGCTACATGAACAACTGAGTAAACTTATTATTTTATTCAGATTAAGAGCAAAGTGAATTATTTCACCATTTTATTTTTAGTTTTCACATATACAGCTGAGAAAACTTATTATTTTATTCAGATTAAGAGCAAAGTGAATTATTTCACCATTTTACTTTTAGTTTTCACATTTACAGCTGAGAAAACTTATTATTTTATTCAGATTAAGAGCAAAGTGAATTATTTCACCATTTTATTTTTAGTTTTCACATATACAGCTGAGAAAACTTATTATTTTATTCAGATTAAGAGCAAAGTGAATTATTTCACCATTTTACTTTTAGTTTTCACATTTACAGCTGAGAAAACTTATTATTTTATTCAGATTAAGAGCAAAGTGAATTATTTCACCATTTTATTTTTAGTTTTCACATATACAGCTGAGAAAACTTATTATTTTATTCAGATTAAGAGCAAAGTGAATTATTTCACCATTTTATTTTTAGTTTTCACATTTACAGCTAAGAAAACTTATTATTTTATTCAGATTAAGAGCAAAGTGAATTATTTCACCATTTTATTTTTAGTTTTCACATAAACAGCTGAGAAAACTTATTATTTTATTCAGATTAAGAGCAAAGTGAATTATTTCACCATTTTACTTTTAGCTTTCACATATACAGCTGAGAAAACTTATTATTTTATTCAGATTAAGAGCAAAGCTAATACAAATTTTTTCTTCTAACCTTTGTCGTCTGTATTGAAAGCAAAGTAATACGGAAATATGAGGCACTGGTATATTAGTTAAATATATGTTAAAAGTGACTACGCCATTGAAAAACCTTGCGATCTCTTTGGTTAGTTCGTGATAAATTATACGATTATATATCAGTTCATCCTCGTTTTATTAGACATTTGTTTTGCCATTTTAACTGCTAAATACTAACATGCGTGTCGATTGGGTAAGATGGTGACAGAAGGCAAACGGATCACCGTCTCTGAAAATCCTGTTGTTTCAGGGAAACGGCTAAATTAAATAAAGGGACAAGTAGAAAATAATGATGAACACTTGTTATATATTACGTTTGTGTCCGATGACTATAATATATTTACCTATATGTATAGATTTGTGCCACTATTAAAACTGTTTGTAAGTAGAAAGTTATCTGAAATATAAAAATAGAGATGGCGTGCAACGAATGAAGTCATTAATAGGTCTCTTACACTTCAACTTTCTAAATACATTAGGAAAGTCGTCATTTGTTAATGCAAAATTTATCATGCACACGGCTCGTGCCACCTTTGGGTATCGTTTTCCGGGTAAATCAATTTCAAATATTTTAATGCATCATAAAAACGCGTATATTATCTGTTTTTATTGCAGATTAGCACCATTAACACTTCACTCGACGTTTCAGTGTTATTTTTTCTGTATTTTACTGATATTTAACTTTATTTCTTTGACTGCCATACGCTTTTCATGGAACAGAGCATATCAGCTTATCGTTTATTACATCGTTACGTGCATCTTAACATACATTCTAATGA